TTACAAAATTACGCACAACTTCTACTGACCTTGGGTGAACAAAACTGTAAGTTGTAAAAGACAAGCATAGCATTACAATTAACACACTTCAAGACTCCTGCGTCGTGTAGAACATCATGAAAGGCCAAGTGATAAACAGCAGTACACTGTCACGTCTTTGTTTTGGTTAATGTAATTATGTACGCATTGAGCCGTTAACCAGTAAGAGATCTTGGTTTACCTAAACCCCTAAATTAAACCATACACTTAGCATACAAATTTGTTGCAATTAGCTTAAAGACTCCTGTGCCGCGGTAAATAGCTTGAAAACCCAAGGATATTGCAATTATTTACGCATTTAGCCGTTAACCAACCATGGTATACCTAATCCGAGATTAAACCATGCACTTAAAATTGGTTACACAATCCTCGCATATTCACAGCTCTAAATCGTAGGTGGCTGACCGAGCTGCCCAATTTGATGTGACATTGTTACTTTATGCTTGTCATCGAAAACTGGCAATGGCATCAACAATTACTTACTCATATGGCACGAATTGTTTAAGTGTCATTCACTCCAGGTGGTTAGGTTTTTTTCTACTTAGTTCTTAGAGAGATCCACATGTTGCAAGAAATTACGCTAAATTTTGTGTTCAAAAATTACTTGCTACATACGTACGTATGTGCATACATACATATATTCACACTCTAGTGCATCCACATTTATTTCCTTGCCTTCAAAGTAATCACCATGGCAGCTAATTCGCCTCTTGTAACCCTTTCGCAAATCTTTAAAACATTTGCCATCTCTGCTTCTGATCAAAAATTGTGAGGTGGTATGTGTTTAATCCTGAGTTTTATCTTAAAGTTCCAAATGAACCTTGCCACAGCAACCAAATAGAATGGTCAACAAAATTCCATTCTAAAAATAACAGCCAAACACAATTTTAAGGCTAGATTGGAAGTGCCACAACTGATGAGATCAACCGAACTTCTTTCGGAAGTACAGTATTTCTTTTTTCGCTCTTGTACTTCGTACTTCGAAGTACAGTCCAATGTACTCCTTCGCGATATTTTGTACTTCAGGAGGGAGATTCTGTAGCCAGTTAACGACAACTTTTGGGTCGCTATCGCACTTTTTGACGCATGATATAAATGTTTTTGCGTCAAAAAGTGCGATAGCGATTCGAAAATTGTCGCTTACTGGTTACAGAATCTCCCCCCCGATCTCGTACTTCTCCGATCTTCTGGACGATCGTCACATGGCCTGGGAGATAAATTCGTTGAAACCATTAAAGTCGCCGGAAATCGATGGCATCATACCTGCGCAGCTGCCAAGGGCTCTGCGAACTGCATGAAGACCGGGCATATCCTCAAGGCTTGGAGGGTAGTCAGGGTTTCGTTCATCCCGAAGGCCGAAAAAGGCTCTCATGTTTCCCCTAGGGATTTTAGGCTTATTAGTCCCTTAGTTTTTGCTAAAAACGCTAGAGAGACTGATAGACCTGTACATAAAAAAACGCGATTCCTCGTGACTGTCTTCTAAGAGCTCAATATGCTTATTGCAAGAAAAGGTTGGTGAATACCGCCCTGCACATATCACTTTACCAATATGTAAATAAATAGATACATATATAGTCCAGGAAGAAGCAGGTCGTCCACTTAAGGTTATTCCTTGCCGGTGACAAATATAAGTACAGCTCAACTGAGATAAAGGGAATATATCAACGACCGAGTGGACGATCGCCCTATCTCCGCAGCCGGTCCAAGAACGCCATATCTCAGCTTCCGATATATTGAATTTATATAGAGATAGGGGGTTTTCGAATTGCAGCAGAGATAGAGCGATCTTCCTCTCAGCCGTATTTGACAACAGTATGTTAAAGAAAATTTCGTCAGAAAGTTGTTTGTCAGAAAGTTCCTTCGATGCTAAACCAGTTTTTATTCTTTAGCGGATTTTACAATATGTAGCATCAGCCGAAGGCCTTTGTAGCCAGTGCTGCTTTGAGACTTATTTGTAGTATATTAAGTATTGTACAAATAATTAAAAAAAAACTAAAAATAAAAAATAAATGTCTTTGCACTGCCCGAAAAATTCTGTTTAGGAAATCTATGTAGACAGCCGTGGTGTGCCTAACTAGAGTACACATAATCGAGAGTTATTTTCATTTGGCCAAATACTATATCGGACTAGGGCTAAGGAAGATCAAGAAGCAATACTCAGTGTATCTGAAGTGCGTACGCATATATTTTAAACATTTATACAGGCCATAAGCTTTGCTAAGCTTTCGCTGAACGCACTTGCAAGTGAGCAGAAGGTTTGTTTATTTCGCGCTTCTCAGCTGGTTTATAGTAAGCTTATCTCTCAGTTCAGCCATAAGCGTTGTGTGGCGCCTCTTTAACAAGTCCTTTGGACAATTTTCTCATATAAAGGCCTAAAGGCATCCTCAACGTAGTGTCGCATTACATATTACATACGCCAATGCCATTTTAAGACCTTCAACAGCTCTTGCTGCTAGCTATTTAACTGTTTATTTGTTTTTTTTTTTTTTTGGTTATTGTTTTACAAAAGCCACTCAAAAATACAATACTTGCATGCGTAAATTTATTCATGATCAGCATAATTCTGTGCAGATTCATTTGCTTTCTTTTCACAACAACAAAAAAAAAACGTTATTTATTTATTTATTTTCATTTCGATTAATTTTTTATGTTTTCAATTTAAGTATTTTTTTAAGTATTTTGCTATTCTGCAGCTTGCTTGTGTGTTTCCAATAAATAACATTTCGTTATGTAAATATTATGGAAATTTCCCCCCCATTTCGTGTTGTGATTGTTGCCATTTTATTATTATTATTATTATTAAATACGTGTTTCTCACAAACTTTGCTAAATTAATTTTTTTATGAGCTGCGCTGCAGAATAATTAATTTGAATTTTATTGCTGCGTCATTTGTTCGCCACTTGGTTGGGATGCAGTTTACTTTTTGTGATTATTTTTCCATTATTTATTTTAGCGCTGTAATCAAGTGTCGTGTTTGAACATCAATACAAATACTATTTGTGTACATATGCATGCATGTAAATTTATTGTTAATTTTTTTTCGCTCTATTTTAAATTGTGAATAAAAAAGAAAACAAATCTCGCGAATTGCCTGCGTAAGTGCTTTCTATAAATAATTTACAATTTTTTTTTGTTGCGTATTTACATAATTTAGCTCATAAATAAATATTTGTTTGCTATTCTAACGCAATATTAGCTCGCTCACAAGTGAATGCTTATTGAATATAATACTTAGTTATAATGGGATTTTAATACGTTTTTTATGATGCGCATTTCTAATCGGATAACTCGATACAGAAGAGAAAGATTAATAGTCAAATTAACCAGGGTTCATTGACAGTTTTTATATCCATACATATGTATGTATGTGCATACATAAATGGGAAATTCGGATAATTGGATATACTAAAGGCTGCTAATGAGCTTAGCATTTTTTTTGTTTAATTTTATATAAAATAAACCTCTACAACTATTTAAACGACACAACTACTAATCGAAACTAAAACTCCATGTCTCTAATCTTTACTAAATTTTTATGACCAAAAAAAAGTTATTCGAGTCTATTTTTTTTTAAATACCAGCACATCTTAATTCAACTTTGAATGGAGTTCGTTCCCTCTACCTTTCTCTTTCATCCTTTCTATAAGAAATAAAAAGGGAGAGAAAATACCTTTCCAGTGATACCTCACAAGTCTAAATCGGAAGAGTTTAGGTTCAGTTATTCAAGTTTTTCTTATACCAATCTTTGAAGATAGTTAAAAAAACAACATCAAAAATCTCATTATTCAATATTTTGAAAAATATTTTTATCCAAATTTTTTAAGCTTAAACCGTTTTGCCATTTGAGGGAATTTTTTCAAAAAACATCTTTAAGAAACTATTTTTATTCATAAAAAACTCCATTTTTGGAGGTATTTTCAAATCGATCCAGCTCGCGTAAATCTTAATATTTTTCCGAAATATTTTGGTGCACGTCTTAAAATATAATAGATTTTATAATTCCAGGGGAAAAACAGTACCGATTTTTTATTTTTTTTTGTATGGGGAGTGATGCAGTCTAATGTATATGTATGTGCGTAATACTTTGTAAAAATCTTCAACGCCATTATTAAATTACTTTTAAATAATAGGACTTTCAAGTTAAGGCCTGCGAGCAGGTAAACCTGTTAGATGACTGTATACGGTGCTGCGGGGCGTATACGTTACATACGCAACTGCAATAATGTGAGCACGAGTGGTTATTTTTATGTATTTTTTTAGTATTTATATGTATGTATCTTTCTTAAGTTTTCATTTAATTACAATTTCCACCGATGCTTTAGTCAAGCTTCACTTCTATCCATCTGTGTTAAAGTTCATCGGTGTCTTATTCCTAACACTAACTGTAAAAAAAAACACTCAACATTAGAGAGAGAGAGAGGCCCTGTAGTAAAAACTTTTGACGAACTGCACTGAACCAGTTTTGAACAGAAGCATGTTTGAACCGAACCGGTTGTGAAACAGATTACCCACTTTTTTCTACTAAATAACTGAACCTTTTAGTGTGCTGGGTATTTGTACAATGGATATTTTAACACTTAATGAAAAAAGTAGCAAAATATTTGTATAAGTGGAACTAATCTGATCAGATAAATGCGCGCCGAGTTGAAAATTTTACTAAAAAAAAAATTTCAAAAAAATGTTCAGCAATTCTTTAACTCGCTTGCAAGCATACATACATATGTACACATAGTTTCATGAAGCAACACGTTCGTATTTGAACGAATGCACCAAATATAAATATACATATACATATGTATGTATGTTTATCTAGGACCCTTTCCAATTTTCATCTCAAGTGGAAACCCGATAATGATTTTATGCTCATGTTAAAGATTACTGTACAAAGCCTATTAAAGTGTTAACAAATTTATATTACTATATTTATTCAAAAAATTTATACATATACACATTTACTTACCACACACTGTGCGCGTGCAAATGAATCCAATCTTGTAGGATATTTGAGCTGCAAGTAAAAAAGAAAATGGAAAAAAAAATTAGTTAACAATGAGAAGAGATACTTGAAATGCACAAAAGATACGAAAAAACCTAAGCTGTCAAATATCAATCATTATTATCCTTATGAGATTTGAACAATAATTTTGTGGAGTGCGCAGATATACGATTGGATGTAGTAGAATATATGTATAGAAGAGATATGTACATATGTTTAAACAGTTACTAAATACATACAAAAATATGTACATACGTATGTACATTGTAACACAAACAAAAAACACTCTGCTTTCTATGCGTACAAAAACAAACACAAGTGCGTGCGTGTTAATGTACATCTATTCAAAGATAATAGAACAACGTCATAAAACATTCAACTTGTAAATGTCCATATGATGATATTTATACACAAATACATTTGCCCTAGCGCTAGCTTAGGGATATACATATGTACATATGTATGTCTGTAAAGAGAGAGTGCTCCTTGCTAGGGATCAAATTACAGGCGTGTCTGTGGTTGTGGCTGCTTTTGCCGTTTTTATTATTACTTCTCAAGTTCATTATGCTCCTAGCCGCCTTTGAGGGCATTACCCATTATAAGTTGGTGATTTCAACACATTCCAGCGATTCTATTATACTATTTTTTTATGTGTTCAACTATTCTTTGTATTCTTCTTCTTCTTTTTTTTGGGTTGTGGACAACGCGACCGCAGGGTTATCATAGCACATGCCTTAACACAATGAATGGCCAGCTGCTGGCTAGCGAAGAAGACTAAAGACCATTGGCTTGGAAGCATTTTATTGCTATATTTAGAATACAAAAAAAAAAACATAGAATCCAGTGCTGGTAGAGGTTTTGTGTTAAAAGGATAAATTTAATATTTTCTTAAATTTCAAATTATTTTTGGAGGATGCGCAATTGTGAAATGGGTGAACGAGTGAAAAAACTCACTAAGTGAATGCCTTTGTTACGAGCATATCTCAGCTGCTGGAAAATTAAGTGAGAAAATAAGTCGGGAGTTTTTAAGTCAGATACCAAATGTAATGGTTTTCATAGTTCGTTTTTATGAATCGATCGAGAAGTTCTTTCACCAGTTTCTTATTTAACCGCGGCCACGATGAACTGCATGCCTCACAATCATCTCGTTTGATCCACAATTTATTTATATTGCGTTTGAAGCCGAACAGATATAGACGAAGTCAGCGTCTTTTTCGGCTAGAACCTTGATATTTAGTAGGAGACTTAGTAGGAGCCTCTCCTGCGGTGGTCCACTCATCGCTCTCGATATACCAAGGCATGCGAGATTTTTAACTTTTCCAATTGTATTGTTTTAGATTTATTTATTTAGAGATTTCGATAAGACTACCTACGTACCTACGTTGTTTTCGAAAATCTCATTGTGCGTGTAGCAAGCAACTGGAAGCTTCTAAACTCTCTCATCCACATTCCTTTTCAAATTAGTTTGAAGTACAGGTTGATACCGGGCTTTTCGCTTCAAAGAAAACATTTAAAAATATCGGCGGAGTAAAAGTGGAATCTTTGTTTTTATGGGGAATAAAATTAGTTCTGTTTTGAAGTGGTTGGATCACTTAGAGATATCCAACAATCAGAAGAGTGTTGCCTCTGATGTTGATGAGTGTTTAAGCGAACGAAGCATCAAAATTGGTTTACTCTGTGTCACTCCGGAAATTCGATGCTAGAATTGAACCTCACAATGGGCGGGCAGTTCTTAAAAAAGTCACCAAAAATCGTTGAATAATCAAGGTAGGCCGGTATATTTTTCTCGTGATATTTCTGAGCAACTCAACATCGATCAGATTGCAGGTTGCTTACAAAAATTATGTGCAAAGAAGTCAGCCAAGAACCGGCAAACGGAAAAAAACTTGGAAAGACACCAAAGAAAACACCTTCGTGTGTTTGGTTACTAATGATGATGGTTTATGTGCATTTTTTTTGGCATGGTCATGGCTAGCTAATTAGGGTCGATGGTAAAATAGATGATTCAGTAAATATTAGAACATTTTGGAACACCAAATAAAAATTTTGTCTTTCCATAACTTTCCAATTAAATGAAAATCGACGTTTGACAACGATCCCAAACATTCCTAAGGCCGTCAGAAAAAATCGATATTTTGGATTATCCAGCACATAGACTGCTCTTAAATCCTTTACAATGAAGTCAAGTTTGAAATTGCATGAACTCATGGAGAGAATAATTCGTAAAAAGATGTGTCTATTATATAGGGTGATGCCAGATCTTTGACAGCAATTATTTGCGATATGTTAAAGTTTTTTTTGTTTATTTTTTTTTCAGGAAATTGGCGCCAATGGCTTTGGAAAACCTGGTCATGAAGCGTTACAGTTATCCAAACGTTTCATGAAAATGGCCATTCTACAAGAAGTGCATTTTACTTTTTCATTTAATTTTTTCGAAACGATGAGATCAAGTGATCGCCAAGATCTTGCGATTTAACACAAGAGGACTTCCTTCTTTTGGTCTAATTACATCAATAAGCCGACGAAAAGATACGATTCCATAGCTGAAGAAGAAAATCATACGCGTTATAAATGTTATAGACCACGAACTATGTCACAAAGTCATGGAACGTTTTGATATATTTATGCATCCTGCGTGGCCAGAGTAGTCGTGGTGTGCATTTAATGGACAGAAAAGAATAGAAAATTAAGTTGAATGTAAGAAAGAAAGTTCCGCTTGCCTGCCGTCTACTTGAAATTGTCTTACATAAGACTCTCAACTATCTTAGCCAGAATTACCCGTTAAAAAAGGTGATGAAAAAAAACATCAATTTGACAAATTTTGTCATAAAAGGAAATCTGCGATCTCATAGAACCACCCTGTAGCTATGTAAAAATTTATGAATGTTCATATCTGTTTACTATTTATCTTTCTTAGCTCAATTTCAATAGATTCTCCAGACAAGAAACATGTGTCAAGCTCCTACTATTGCTCCCAACTTCTAACATACATACATATGTATCTTGTAATCTTGTGCATCACCTAGTAAATAACTTGTTAATAAGATGCACCAATCGACGCTTCCAACTCTACAATTCCCAGCAGGCTTATGAAGCTATTGATTGGGCGTAGTATTCATACAAATCCTCTCTGAGCACTTGGTGTCTCACTCTGAAATCCAAATGAATGTGTTAATCAAGGGGATTATATTTGAATTGACGCCGCTAAGCCCCACAGGCAGAAGAGTGCTTGCAAAAGGGGGTGAATGTTTCGTTGGTTTTACATTTGATAACAAGTATTTTAGGGTTCGGCTGATTTTTAAGGCTTTTGGTGTTTTGCAACAGACAAAAAAATATTCCCATTAAATTATTTTAAGATGCTGCTTACAGCCGTTAACCCGATGAAAGGTTGAGGACGTTGCATGTGTGTGGACTCAAATGCGATGGGAACTTGGTTCGCACTGCTAACATTTGAGATAATGGAACATAATTTTTTTTAAATTCTAGGTATGTATGTATTTATTTTTGTACATATGTGTGAATAATTTGCATCTAATAGCGGTAGTCATTAAAATTTTACTAATGTCAAAAAGTGCCCAGTTAAAATTTGCATCTCTTGGAACAGTTAACTAACTCAGTACTATTTATGGGAAAAAGCTGCAACAGAACTACGCTGAAGGATATTGGTGATCAATTTTCTAGACACCTAAATAAATTTCAAATTTTTCATAGACTTTAAATTCACCACAAAGCGCTTGAGAACTTTTCTTGATACATTTCTGTGCACTAAGCTACGGCTATGCATCTTACGATTTTCCTCTGCTGTTTCATAAGTTCAGACAACTTTTATCTGCAGTTGTCATATTCTTCATAATAAATGTACACTTACACATACAAGTTGGTACCCATATACATAGATACATACATATTTATACATTCAGCATAAACGCGTTTATTGCCACAGTTTACTCTCTAAATCAGGCAATGTCCTATTGTCTGGCACTTATGTATGTATCTACTTTGCTTGGCTCAAGTGTTTTTTCATATTCTTTCATTTTCTTTTTTTTTATGTTTTATATGCATAAGGTTATAAAAAACCGCCGCTGTTTAAGACTTAAGACTTTCCTTATTGCTTTATGTTTGTGCATATACATACTACATACATATGTGTACCTATACTTCTGGCCTGGCTGTTTATTTGCTTTACAACAAGTGTTTTGTTGTGTCCGAGAAAAACCGACAAAACAAACATCAATAAAACTGCATGGATGTTTATATAAGCATGTAAATATACGCTATTTTTTGGTGTTGTTTGCTTTTTTATTATGCCATTCCTTGACTTTGAATATTTTTTATTACCTTTTATTTGTGCTTAGTGTTTGTGTTAATGTTTATATGTTAAAATGTTAATACACAAAACAATAATAATAAATTTTGATGTTTGACAGGACTTTGTTGGCGGCTAGAAGAGATAAAAGATTTACAGACATTCATACATATTTATGTATGCAGCCGCTTACAGCACGTGCAGGTATACAAACATATATGTATGTATGTAGTGTAGTTATGTTTGCACGTATTAAGTAAGAAACTTAAATCAAAATTTAGTTATAATAGGCTATAATTTTTGTAGCATTTATTTATTTCTTGCTTTTACCCCAAGTGTGTGTTTGTTCTGGGAAGTACAGCGCAAAGGCTTTGCAGTTCAGGAAATATGGTAATACTATTTATAATAACGTGAGGAGTAAAGTCGATGTAATTTTTGAAAGTTACAGCTAAGCTTTACTGTTGCAACAAGCCGATTTATATTCACCTGCATCTGCAATAGACGACATTAAAGGCTAGCAAGCCACGTAAATAAACATATGTATGTTCACACATACGAGTATATGACGATTCGTATTATAGACTCTTGAATTGTATTGTGTTTGTCAGGGACCGAGATGGCGTTTCAAATTTGGTTTAGATCTGCATGAGAACAGATTGTAATGTCAAGAACGTTCCCACAAACGAAGCAAACGGGAACAAACGTATTGAGA